GTGAATATCCTTTATCTCTACCTATGCCCTCGAGTTCAAGCCATCTTTTCAACTTAGCTCTGAATGCATGCAATGAAATGCAATGGATATGAGGCAAATTGAACTTACCACCCTGCCCTGTTGTAAATTTAAATTTGCCTTCAAAAGTATAAGCACTTCTATGAAATGCTTTTAGTATCAGTTGATAATCGGTGCTGGGCAGCAATCCACTGAGAGTGATAGTTCCGCTTGCGACTTTTTCCTTTTTCTTAATAGTGTTGCCACTTTTAGAAGTCGGTGTCGCACTTGCGTCAATGCTGTGTACTCCAGCTGCGGCCAACTTTTCTGAATCCCAACTTATTTGAAGATTAGTATGATTCAATACAGCCCATTGAATGCTTCGAAAGGCAGAGTAACCGCCTATTAGATCGCCTTCTAAAAAATGAACAGCATTGTACATTAGGCAGGCTGCAACCATTTCCAAAGCATTTTTCGCCTAACACCACGAAATCAGTATTAATGGAGAAAAGAATGTCACTAGGTTTGCCCTTCAAGTGCGACAGTTTGGCCCACCGGGCAGTGGGGTTAATAAGTGTTTCCCTTCGACATGGCATTGCATGTCATACTATCGCGTGTGTGTGGGTGGGTGTGTAAATCACTTTGAAGAATGGGGCCGCGTACACCCTTGACGATACTGCTTGATTATCCTAGTCAACATGGAAGGTAAATATCTCTGGAGGATCGGACTAGTAATTGTTGCTTGCTCTCAACTTCCTTATCGGGATTTCCCTTATTCACAATGGAGTAAGGAGACGAGGTGGAGAGGAGAGAGGTGGGGATTCGCATGCATATCAATGCTGGCATGATCATACGCGTGTGTCAAGCAAACTGGCACTTGACAGCCGACGGTATAGCCTACACTTGTGGATGACATTGTGGAGTCAGTGGTAGGTGCGTCCAATAACTGAAGTCAGCAATGGCAACAGATGTACAGGAAGCCACGATGTGTATGAGCAGGTCACTAACACTGGTCAAGTCATGTTTGCCCTTCACGAATGCATACCCACACTCGACAAACCTACTTTCTGCCTCGTAATTGCACATTCCACTCCCACCCTACCCCCTAACTGACGAGTCAACGTCTCCCACAACCAGGGAAACAGTTCTGTGTCCAAACATTCCTGCATTTGTACTCACCCTCCCCATTCACTTTATCCAACAAACATGAAAAAGCTAAATCAACCTGTGAGGTCTATGCCCATGAAGACCAAGGAAGTTGCGGTCTACGAGTGTCGTCACTAATCGCCTTAGTCACGTAGAATGGCCATAAGGTGAATATATAAGCTTACTTGTAACTAATTTTATCAAGGTTTGATGCAAAACACGAAAACAATAAAGGGAATCAACTGGTGTAGCAAATGCTACTATATGTCAAAGGCTAATTCGTATATGCTGATGAGAATCAGTTATAAGATGCCCACTTACGCCATGCTCCGTTCCCTTCCTGAACCAAAATGGAGGAGGCAAACAATATGAGACAGTAGAAAGACACCGCCATCAACGTAAATATTGTTGCATTCACAACGCACCGCATTTATGCGAACGCCTTCCAAATTGTCAGCCAATGAAGTGCCCTCTACTTGACCCACAAATCCACTTCTTCATGAGTTCACTGCACGTTTGAACTGAGGGGCCGTTCAGGCGATTGCATATCCAACTCCCACGCCTCTTGTCATCGGCGTGCCGAGAAACCCAATCGATGGATAACGCAATGCAAATTCACATCCTGGAACATGAGATTGACGTTCGTGCCACCTGAATGTTGGCCATTGTGTGTAAGGTGCCCTTACTCAAAGCCTTCTCTCGCCGTCTACACACGCTTGTTGTTGTTGCTGTTGTTGTAGCTGCAGCTGCTGCTGCTGTTACAAGTGGCACAGACGCGGCTATTTATTGAAGTGAGACTGCAAATCCACTGCAGGCGTAGCAGCAGCATCTACTGCGTGAAAACTCCCACCTTTACTTCTTCGACATTATGGAATGCTCACCTTTGCTACACCCACCACCCATTTCAATCACCCCACCACTACTACTACCACTCTTACTGCTACTCATACCACCTCATCAATTCCATGCCACTTGGCCGAATATTCCACAAATGGATTCAATTCTTTAGCAAGAAACATCGTTGTCTCATAAGCTTAAGCACTGTTAGTGGGAATATTTTAGACGCAAGTAACAACAGTGCCACAGCCTGTGCGCCAAGTTGCGGTGGGTGTGGGTGGTTCAACTTGACCCACTTCTAGCATGTGACAACGTTGCATTCGCGCAGGAAATTCTCCAAGCACAAAAGTGTACCTCCAATAATGCAGAAATTTGCCTTCAAAAGTATAAGCACTTCTATGAAATGCTTTTAGTATCAGTTGATAATCGGTGCTGGGCAGCAATCCACTGAGAGTGATAGTTCCGCTTGCGACTTTTTCCTTTTTCTTAATAGTGTTGCCACTTTTAGAAGTCGGTGTCGCACTTGCGTCAATGCTGTGTACTCCAGCTGCGGCCAACTTTTCTGAATCCCAACTTATTTGAAGATTAGTATGATTCAATACAGCCCATTGAATGCTTCGAAAGGCAGAGTAACCGCCTATTAGATCGCCTTCTAAAAAATGAACAGCATTGTACATTAGGCAGGCTGCAACCATTTCCAAAGCATTTTTCGCCTAACACCACGAAATCAGTATTAATGGAGAAAAGAATGTCACTAGGTTTGCCCTTCAAGTGCGACAGTTTGGCCCACCGGGCAGTGGGGTTAATAAGTGTTTCCCTTCGACATGGCATTGCATGTCATACTATCGCGTGTGTGTGGGTGGGTGTGTAAATCACTTTGAAGAATGGGGCCGCGTACACCCTTGACGATACTGCTTGATTATCCTAGTCAACATGGAAGGTAAATATCTCTGGAGGATCGGACTAGTAATTGTTGCTTGCTCTCAACTTCCTTATCGGGATTTCCCTTATTCACAATGGAGTAAGGAGACGAGGTGGAGAGGAGAGAGGTGGGGATTCGCATGCATATCAATGCTGGCATGATCATACGCGTGTGTCAAGCAAACTGGCACTTGACAGCCGACGGTATAGCCTACACTTGTGGATGACATTGTGGAGTCAGTGGTAGGTGCGTCCAATAACTGAAGTCAGCAATGGCAACAGATGTACAGGAAGCCACGATGTGTATGAGCAGGTCACTAACACTGGTCAAGTCATGTTTGCCCTTCACGAATGCATACCCACACTCGACAAACCTACTTTCTGCCTCGTAATTGCACATTCCACTCCCACCCTACCCCCTAACTGACGAGTCAACGTCTCCCACAACCAGGGAAACAGTTCTGTGTCCAAACATTCCTGCATTTGTACTCACCCTCCCCATTCACTTTATCCAACAAACATGAAAAAGCTAAATCAACCTGTGAGGTCTATGCCCATGAAGACCAAGGAAGTTGCGGTCTACGAGTGTCGTCACTAATCGCCTTAGTCACGTAGAATGGCCATAAGGTGAATATATAAGCTTACTTGTAACTAATTTTATCAAGGTTTGATGCAAAACACGAAAACAATAAAGGGAATCAACTGGTGTAGCAAATGCTACTATATGTCAAAGGCTAATTCGTATATGCTGATGAGAATCAGTTATAAGATGCCCACTTACGCCATGCTCCGTTCCCTTCCTGAACCAAAATGGAGGAGGCAAACAATATGAGACAGTAGAAAGACACCGCCATCAACGTAAATATTGTTGCATTCACAACGCACCGCATTTATGCGAACGCCTTCCAAATTGTCAGCCAATGAAGTGCCCTCTACTTGACCCACAAATCCACTTCTTCATGAGTTCACTGCACGTTTGAACTGAGGGGCCGTTCAGGCGATTGCATATCCAACTCCCACGCCTCTTGTCATCGGCGTGCCGAGAAACCCAATCGATGGATAACGCAATGCAAATTCACATCCTGGAACATGAGATTGACGTTCGTGCCACCTGAATGTTGGCCATTGTGTGTAAGGTGCCCTTACTCAAAGCCTTCTCTCGCCGTCTACACACGCTTGTTGTTGTTGCTGTTGTTGTAGCTGCAGCTGCTGCTGCTGTTACAAGTGGCACAGACGCGGCTATTTATTGAAGTGAGACTGCAAATCCACTGCAGGCGTAGCAGCAGCATCTACTGCGTGAAAACTCCCACCTTTACTTCTTCGACATTATGGAATGCTCACCTTTGCTACACCCACCACCCATTTCAATCACCCCACCACTACTACTACCACTCTTACTGCTACTCATACCACCTCATCAATTCCATGCCACTTGGCCGAATATTCCACAAATGGATTCAATTCTTTAGCAAGAAACATCGTTGTCTCATAAGCTTAAGCACTGTTAGTGGGAATATTTTAGACGCAAGTAACAACAGTGCCACAGCCTGTGCGCCAAGTTGCGGTGGGTGTGGGTGGTTCAACTTGACCCACTTCTAGCATGTGACAACGTTGCATTCGCGCAGGAAATTCTCCAAGCACAAAAGTGTACCTCCAATAATGCAG